TGGACTTCCAGTCCCTAGAACTGTAAGAAATGCATTTCTGTCATTCACAAGCCACCCAGTCTATGGTATTCTGTTATAGCAGCCTGAACTTACTAAGAGAACCAGAGAGACAAGAGAGGGTCTCTGTGGAATGAAATTGTCATTAAGGAGTCCTAGGACGGGAGACCATTGCTTTTATTGCCTTTAGAAGCTCTTCGTTAATGTTCAGTTTACTTTCACATGCATATATCTATATAAGTATATAAATATATTGATACAGATTTTTAAAAATTAAATCAAGTAGTACTTCGGGGCTTGTAGTGTGTTCAAACAAATTTGTGAGACCTCCTTGCTATGAGAGGTTCTTCAGTAAACTGAAGACAAGTTTTCTTGCTTGACCTAGATGCCAAATTGATGCAAAACGTAAAGGGCAGAGCTTTGTCCTCTTAATCTTAGCTGTTTCTCTAACTGAATCTCACTCTAAGGATGGGTATTTTCGTCTAATTTGGTAACTGCTGCAGCAATGTTCAAAACACATCTACAAGCTGAAGTTTTTGTAGTAGCCAGAAGGTGGCATCAAAATCAATTGAGTGGAAATCCCAAAGAACAGACCCATACACAAGTATCAGGAGTAACTTCCCTGAAGTTACATCAACAGAGCACTCCGTTTTCCTCTGAGGTCTCTGTTTTATCTGTTTTGACATTTTAGAAAACCCCCAGTGCTCTCCTAGTGTCTTTTTCATTAGGCATGGATATACAAAACACAAAATGGCCAAACTCTACATCCCAAATATTATCACACTATTTCTAAACACAGAATTTAAGCTTAGTAATAAGGAAGGTCTTTGAGAATTGAGAATCTAAGGGTTGCTGTAAGTACATCATGACACTAACAAGTACAAATACTCTGTTAGAGTCCAACAAGTATTTCCTGGACTGTATTGTTTGGGGGGCTTAAATTAATTACACATCCTGACACAGATGCATTTCATTTTACAACAGAAGGGCCGGCGCGTGTGTGTGTGTGTGTGTGTGTGTGTGTGTGTGTTTTAATTTAATGATATTTTTACCAGTTTATGTTCAAGATTTTTAGGACTGGTAAACATGCAACATTTTATCATAGGACTGTACTGTAATTTATTTAATTAATCTCTATTGATAGCCATATAGGCTATTTCCATTTAATTACTACTATTTCATAGTACCTGTATCACTACAACATCAGGAAATTTTATGCAAATTTCCACTAGGTAAGTTTCTAGGAGGAAAAGTGCTGAATCAGAAAGAATATACAGATTTGAAAAGTATTTCATAGAAGCCACTTTTAGACAACGGGCTTGAGCAATGGAAACTTGGTCAAGGCAGAAGGGACCAAAGTGACCCTGGCTGAATGAATACAGACAGGCCCATCAGCAGACCCACCTCAAAAGTTCCATAGGACCTTTAACCGATGGGCTACTTATAACCAGGCACAGTTACCAAACGGGAAATTTCGCATGTTGCCACACCTCCTCACCTTCCCCCTTTAAAAACAGCCCCCACCCACTACCTCCATGCAGATCACCTCTCCTCTACTGTCTTGCCTGCAGCTCCCTTGAGGTGTATTCAGTAAACTTCTATCTCCTTTGTTCTGCCTCAGGTGAATTCTTGTCACTATGGGCACCACTGGCTTCCACCCAAGGGCCACCCCATATTTGGGCCCCCCCATCCGATTGGGAGACACACCACACTTAGATACCACAGTTTTGATAATTATTATATTTCATTACCAAAGTAGAAAAGGAGATGCTTTTAACACTGTAAAATTTTAATGTTTTCAATTTGACAACCTAAGAAGCAAAAAAATGTATTAATTTGCATTTCTTTAACTATGGTTGAACAATGCCTTGTATGATTATTGGCCATTATGTTAATTTCTGTTTATGACTTTTGCCAACTTTGATACTGAATTATTCTTTTCCTCTTTAATTTTGTAACAGCAGTTCATATAATAAAGCTATTGACCCACTGTCAGATACATATGTTGAAAATATTTTTTTCTGGATTGCCACTGATCTTTTAACTTTGTATACAGTGAGTTAAATGGTAATACAGTGGCAATATATTTTCAAATAAAGACTTCTTTACCCCATAATTCTATAAATATACCTCTGCATTTTCTTGTTACATTTTTATTGTGTATTTTATATACAAATCTTCAGTGTTTCAGTATTCATTTTGGTGTAAGGTAGGAGATAAATATCTAATTTTATATTCATGAATAGCATTTCAGTTAATTCAGTACCATTTAATAATTCATATTTTTGCTACTGATTCAAAATCCCACCTTTATCACATTCCAATTGTATTGTATTTACTTGTTTCTGTATTGTATGTACTTCTTTCTGCCTATTTCTATGATAGTTCCACACTGTTTAAGTGATTGAAATCTGATATTCTCATAAATATTTTCACTTACTATTAAAAACTCTAACCATCATTTAAACTTCCTTGTTAAATTTTCAAATTAATATACAATTATAAGAATTAAAACAATTGAGAAGCTTAAAAATATAAATTATATTATGTAATTATTACATGATAATGATGGTATCAAAAATCAGTGGGGAAAAGAGCATATTATTCAACGAACTATTCTGAGATAATTGCATCTGCAGTTGGAAAAAAATTTTGATTCCTACTTCAGTCCATATAAAAAAAAGAAATTCCGAGTAGATTAGAAATTTAAATGTAAAAAAGGGAACCATAAAAATATTAGAGACATACAGGTGAATATTTTTCAAGAGTAGGAAAGCAATTACAATCATGACACAAAATCCAGAAACTATAAAGGAAAAGTCAACAGAATCACCTCTTGAAAATATAAACATAATTTTTAATGGCTCCATTACATTAGAGGCATCATAATTTACCATCATCCACATATTATTGGATATCTGTATAGCTTCCAATACATTGTTATTATAAATAATACATTAATGAACAAGTCTGTTATACTTAGGATTGTCTTTGAATGATCTTTATGTACTGCAATTTGTAGTATCCCATTTTTGTTGGAAATAAGTAGGTCATTGGCTTAGGTCTAGAAAACTTACTGTTACAGAGGCCCTTTTAAAAATAGCCTATTTTAAGAACTAGAGATTTAGACATTTGTATGATTTTTTTTCTTTTAACACCACCTGGTGCTTTCTTTGTCCTTCATAGTGTAAAAGTTTTTGGCAATGTTAGGGTTTTCTGAGTTACTGAGGTTAAAATAAGAATTACCACTCTAGATGAGGACTTAGTCCAGTTTCCAATGGGCTACAAGGACCTTTTGTAGGAGTCCATTCATCTGTCATAAACTCAATCTGATATGATTAAGGATTTGATCCTCACCCACTCCACTGTCCAAATTTCTAGTTTCTCTTGATCATCTGTAATAATTCTACTCCATGAACTTTATTAACCTTTTCCTGAATCTATTTTTTAAATTTGTATCTCTTGGAATAATAAGCTCCAAAGTTATGGGTGGGCACCATACTGAACACAGCAAATGTTCACATAAAAACACACACACAAAAATGTTTTGAACCTTATTTTTTTGTTTTTGATAGTAGTGAGGGCTGCTGTTGTTTTTGTTTTTTACCCATTCAATGCCAACTTTTATAGAAACTGAATTGGTTATGAAGAACCAGGAGATCTAGTAAAAACCCAGGTATTGCCAGAAAAGAAATGGACCAGTGAGAAAAGAGAGGAAATTTTCTAAAAATGTGAAATTCATGTTTTTGTTTTTTTTTTTTAAGGTAAAGAAACAGAAAAATTGCCTTTGGAAATTGGAAACTTTTGTTATGATTAACATTAGAAAGGAATCTGATAGAACATTCTCCCTTGTTTCAGCTAGTCAGAGCCATTGTCTATAGCAACCAAGTAGCTTTGAAAAGGCTACCACTCACTGAAGATTTCTGGGTGGCACATACTTTCAAAAGTGAAGTGATTTGTCAGTAGGCACTGTGACAAAAACAACTCTAAGTGCAATGTTTAGCTACTCAGAACTCAGCCTTCCAAAAGCCCATTTCATAAGGCATTTTAAAATATGGCTTCTGATAAAATCACTCGTCCAACTCATCCACTATAATTATACTTTTACTAAGCAGAGTCTTCATGCATTCTAATAAAATGCTGCATAACAATGACAACTTGTCCTAAGTCATATAGTATGAAATTTCCCAATTGCTTATATAGACGGTCTCTAGGAAAAATGGGAGGGAAAAACCTTTCTGAATTTCAATCTTCTTACGAAGTCTAGTAGGACTAATGTAAAAATGATTTTGTTACGAGCTAGACCCTGAGACCTGGCCATTATGGCTCACCTGCTTGTACCCACCAACATTTGTTCCACATTTTCCCTAAGCTCTTCTTCCCAACTTATCTCTTAACTTAGGCAAAGGACCTTATGGGCATAACATCCCATGACGGACACTGAAACTACCCCTCAAGCAATGATGACTGCCTGAAGAAGAGTTCCGGTGGCCCAGACTGCCAAACCTGTTTGAGCTAACCCCCCGACTCACTTCTGCACAGATGGACCATGAAGTGACCTCTGGAATGACCAACAATTAATTACCTTACCTCTTCATAATACTAAAATCTCTGCCCAAGATGGAGCACAAGCCTCATTTACATATCATATATACCGTATCTATATATATGTCTATATATTTCTATAGGCATGTTTCTTTAAGATGCATGCATGACCTTATACATACCTCTGCATAAGATGACAAGGCTTTCCCATCTAAATATTCATCCTAACCTTAAATAAAAGAAACCCATTCACCCTTGCTCAGGGAGTCACAACTTTGGAAGTTATTTCCTGTGATCAACTTATTTGGTGCAAATGAAGTTTCCTTTGTGTGACAACTCACCTGGTGTAGTTTCTACCTGTGACTCACCAAGGAGCGAACTCATGCTGGTTCAATTACGGTTTCTAGGTTCCAGCTTAGACAGCAAAAATCAGACAAAGGAAAGGTGGCCATACTCACTCATTGGGGGTGCCCTTCTGGCCACAAAAGTGGCCCTTGCTGTCTGTAGGGTAGGCCACTCTCCTGGGGTCTCCATGTACCCAGGCTGCAAGAACAAGAAAGGACAAAAACTCTATCAGCGACAGCTGACTAAAGGCAGTCCAATTTGAGAAATTAGAATGCACCACGGCAACACACTAACCTCTCCCCTCAGTCACAGGAGATTATTGATTTTCTTCAAAGTAATTTCTTAATGAAAAGTAAAATAAAATATGGATGAATCAGTCAGAAAACACATTTCTTTTAATCTCTCAGGACTCATCTGTGTTGTAGCCAAAACCTGAGGTAATGCACTTAGAAAATGACATTTATTAGAATGTGAATTAGAGGGCACACTGCAAATGCTTGGTTTGCTAGAAGTCACTTTTTCCTAGGGCTTAAAACTAAATGACTTCATAGCAGAGCTAATAAATTTACAGTAAATATTATGATGTAATTCTTTTGGGTTATACATAAGTGAAAACCATTTAAAAATTCAACCAAATGAAACTGTAATACCCAATTCACAGTGACTAGTTCTTTATGACTTCGTGTGCCATTATGAAAGGCAAACATCAGCAACTTTAGTGGCAATATATAATAAAGATATGCTGTGCATTTTGTTGGATAATCTCAAAGCTTAGTATAAATTTCAAGTGTTCTCAAACGTCATGAAAACTGAAGACTTGATTCTGTTTTCTCAGGAAATGCAGGGCTTTACCTTAGATAAACTTATCACCTTTATTTTCCAAGAATTATAAACTTGACTAACAGCTAGAATATAGAATGACAGAAAGTAACATGCATTAGCTAAATAATACCCCCAATTCTAACTGAAATTTTCTTTTTCAGTTTGATTAATATAGTTCCTAAAAATCTAGAAAATGCATTGGCCATCTGATCACGCCTGCCTCCGCATACGGAACACTTCTTTCTGTCCTTTGCTTCCTTTAACGGTTACCCAGCTATCTCCTTACCCCCACATTGATTGGATTTGACAGTTCATGTAATAAATCAGTCACCCTTATGTACACGGCCTGTGTGACTTGGGAAGATAAAAAAAAATTCAATTCTGAGTGAGAATTTTAATATGGAAGAGAAATTTTTCTCAATAATTTTTCTCATCCATCCAAGTCTTTCCTTTTAGTATCTAAGTACCCAGAAAAGTCTCCTTTGTCTCATTCTTTGTTCAATGTCATAGAAGCCAAATAGGTTTCATCTTCTAATACAGTTGTATAAAATCTGACTCATTCAGGCTGCCTTATCTTCTTGTCTTTATTTCCCAGAATAAAGATAGCGGACTGTAAAGAAAGCATTTAAATGGCATCTAAGCGTTCAGTGGACAATGTCTCTGGATACTATTTCATTATATTGTGCTTTTATATCTTTTTGGGGGGTCACATTTAGGCTAAAACTAAGAGGTCCACTTTTACCTATTTCCTGCAATATTTTTCTTTCACCCTGAAATATTTTATTCCTTTTCCATACAAATATTAACTCAGAAATGGCACGTAAAGAAGCATTTAGATTGCGAGGTTGGCTTTTCAATACATTTATGGCCCTGAAAAAGTCATTTAATTGTTTTAGCTTTGGCTTTCTAATCTGTTACTATAAAATGGGTATAATACCAAAGAATGTTAAGAATATGAAAGAAGACAAAGTAGAAGGCCTAACATGGTGCTTTGCATGCAACATGGACTTGGTAATGTTAGTTCCTGTCTTATTTAGGTTTCCCCAACACAAATCCCTGAGACAAGGACTTTGCTATGGGCAGGTTAATTTAGGAGATAATTCTAGGAAGCTTAGGTGAGAATGAGAAGGGAAGGAAGCAAAGCCAACAAAAGGCATGTTAACAAGTGGCATACTGTTGGGGGCAGTGGTGACTCCATTCTGCTGAGGACCTTCTGAGGAACCACATAGAACATGTTTGTTGGGGGACATGCTGAAACAGTCTACCATAGCTGCAAGCAAACCCAGAAGAACTGAGGGGATGTGGGGTAGGACATTAGCAGAATCTACTATAGTTTTCTTTCCCTTTTTCATCAATCAATTAACAAAAGAATTTACTAAGCAACCACTATATGTCCTGTACTGGAAGTCAATACCATTATAGTTTATATCAGACTTCTCAAGAAAAACACAAAAAGGAGACAACAAAATTTGCAGAAGCAGGCACGTGAGTGGCTTGGTTAGGTGTCTGACTCGAATTCTGCTCAGGTCATGATCTAAGGTGGTGAAATTGAACCTCAAGTCAGGCTCCATGCTCAACATGGAGTCTATTTGAGATTCTCTCTCTCTCTCCCCTCTCCTTTTGCCCCTCCTCACGCCAAGACACATTCATGCTCTCTCTCAAATAATAAATAAATAAATAAATAAATAAATAAATAATCTTTAAAATTTACAGAAGCCATAGAGAAGAGGTAAAACTTGGCAAAGACTGAAAAACGACTAGAACTTGGACCAGGTGGCCAGGAGCAGGGAATAAATTATAGATTAAGGAAATAGTATAATAAGAGCTTTAATGTATTAATTACTCACAGTGTGTCAAGTTCTATGCTAAATGTATTACATCCATTGTCTCATTTGAGTCTTGCAATAATTCTATAAGGTAGATATTATTTTCACCCAAATTTTATAGGTTAAAAAAAGAAGAGCTTCAGTTAAGGGATGGCAGTGAGGGGCAGAGGGTGAGGGAGAGGGAGAGAGAATCCTAAGCAGGCTCCATGCCCAGCATGTGAGCCTGACTGCACAAACCCAAGATCATGACCTGAGCCAAAAAATCAAGAGTCAGACACTTAACCTGCTGAGCCACCCAGGTGTCCCTCAGAGTTTGATTTACTTCTCAAGGTCACAGTTTTTCAGTGGCATAAACAGGGCTTGAACTTAGGCTTGTTGCTGTCTAAAGCTCAAGTTTTAACCACTAGGCTAAAAAGCTGTAGTGCTGCCTGCTAGAGGATAAATTAGGAATGAGCTTGTTAACAGTGGGAAACAACATGGATATCAGCTAGATGAGGATCAGCAGGATGTTGGACACATATGGTAGGAAAGGAGAGGACACAGGTAATTTTGGAATCTTTGTCATTTGAAAAGAAAAACTTTATACTTGGCAGGAGAAGACAAGTATCAGGTTGGGAGGGATCTGATACCTGGGGACAAAGGAGAAAGGGACCAAGATTTAATTGCCAAAGGAAGAACGCTCTTCCTCTGTTCTGTAGTTTTAAGCTGCGGCAGGTGGCTGTGATTATGAAGTTGCTGCTCCATCTCTCTACGCAGACTCTAGCACAGTTGTGTTGCAGATCATCTGTGCTTGAGCTGGAATGACAAATCTTTCAGCTAATAGCTGCAAGGTCTGGTTCAACCAAGTCACCTCAGTCAAAGGTATCTAGTTTTATCTTCTCCATCAAGTCCCCATCTTGCCACACCTCCACTGGAGGAATCTGACTGGGGGAAAAAAAAGAGGAAATGGAGATGTGCAACAACAGCATTTTGTCTGTTAATAAACTAAGGACTGCTCACATTTTACTTCCTTTCTTGGAATTTCTCTATTCATGGCACTTCTTGGAATGTGCTGTCCAATATGGTGGCCACTAGCCACTCGTGTCCACTGAACACTTAAATGTGGCTTACCTGAACTGAGACATGTTATAAGTACAAAATACACATCAGATTTTAAAGACAGCATGCAAAAAAAATGTAAAAATTTCAATAATTTTTATATTGATATCTGAAATAATAGTTATAGTTAAATATATTATTAAAATTAATTTCACTTGACTCTCTTTATTCTCTAAACTATGGCTAGTGGAAAATTTGACATTACACATGATTCACATTTTGTTGCTCCTGGGTAGATCTACTCTAAAATATTTCCCCACAAATGTCAAGGGCTTGTCATATAAGGTGATTAATAGTGTTGTAACATCACAGGTTCATTGGGGTGCCTGGGGTGGCTCATTTGGCTAAGTGTCCAACTCTTGATTTCAGCTCAGGTCATGATCTTGGGGTTGTGAGACTGAGCCCTGCATCAGGCTCCATGCCTGGCGGGGAGTCTGCTTGAGATTCTTTCCCTGTCCTTCTACCCCTCCCACCACTCACGTGCTCTCTAAAAAAATAAATTAATTTTAAAAATCTTTAAAAAAAATAGTGCCATAACTTCAGATTTGTAGGCCAGTCCTTCTCCAACCACATCATACTCAATGCATCCTTTTTATAATAAATATTTTGCCATTCTCCTTTTATAATCTTGAAATAATACAGAAAACATAACTCACCCACGTACATTTCTTTTAAAATATCAATAACATGTCCTCACGTAATATAAGTGAGAAATAGAAAATAGTTTATAATTAAATAGTATGCACATCAATATGCAAATGCTCACAAGTGACTAAACCAAAAGACAGTGAATTAAGCCAGGTACACGCACCTATAGATAGAATCACTGACTGTAACAGCTATAACTGCGGGAAGATGTAGGTGTACTGCATAGGAGACTTAAATAATACAAGTGTGTTGTCCATAAAATGATTTTCCTAAGGGAATAAATTTTAGTGAATTCTAACAAAAAAGCACACTCTTTCTTCAAACTCCCTTGGTATTCATTGAAACCATGCAAAAATAACATTTGTAATTTTAAAACAGAAGTTCTAGATTCAAATACTTAAACGTGAGTTGTCACCTACATGAGGGGACATGGGAAAGTTAAGCAGGAAGTGAGACAATTCTTGGTTGTACAGAACTGTCCGAGATACTGCAAAACATCTACCTTTCCTGGCTCCCATCCACTAAATGCCAGCAGGACTCCCCCTTGAATACTATGACAATCAAAAAGTCAAGTCAAATTTTTTGAAAGATCCTCCTAAGCAGTTGTCCTGCTTCAGTTGAGATCCATTGGTTTATATGTTCATTCACACTCTCAAAAAATCTCCAAAAAAATACATACATATATATGTATATCCCAGATTATCTTTTTTGCTTCTAGATTTTATGGGGGGGGGACAGATAAGCTATCATAGAGTTCTTTCTTATAATGTAATACCATTTACTTTTATTCAGCTGATCACCATC